TTTAAGTGTTTGGATAAAATCTAGCTTATTAGGCTAAATAAGCTAATTTTAATAAGCATTCCTCCCCATGTTTATTGCTTATTGCTTATTCCCACCACAAATAAGTTATAAGCAATAAGCTAAAAATCTAATCCAAACACCCTCTTAGAGGAACAAGAACAACGGTATGCGCGCGCAGGGGGGGTGGTATGTGAGGTGGAAGCGGAGTCAATTTAGAAGATGGTGGAAGAGAACGGTCGAAAGTCGGGAAAAAATGGAACAAAAGAATCTCCAAAGATGAAGGGCGGTAACACAACAATCAAAACAGATAAGAATGGAAACCCTTATGGCGGTTCGTGAACTTCTAAGTGAAAATATGAAAGGAAAACAGTGCACAAAATCAGAAATACAATACAACTTCCGTGTCAAAAGATGAAAGAGAAAAAAGTTAACTGTAGTTAAGTTTTTAGGAATCTTTTCTAATAAAACACTCTTAAAAATGCCACGTGGCACCTTGCTACATAATGCTTCTGCCACATGTTACTTTTTTAAAGCTTCAGCTAATGGTTTCCCGCTCATATATTTTTCTCTTTCTTTAGGGTATTTCAATTACTCCCATAAAATCAGGAATCTTCGAAACTAATAACCATATCTTTCTTCGAAATTATCAGTACCCTTGAATATCTCTAAAGAAATAAATGTACATTCGTGAGCAACTCCGACTCTACCCTCTTGTCACTGCTCTACCTTCACCGCCATTTTATGCACAAACCGTTCGTTTAAGCACACCTCTTTTTCTCTCCAAACCTCTTTTGATCTATCAAACCGTACTATAAAATCTCACAATCTGGCCTTCCATCTTCAAGACGAGAAATCAGTTACTAATAACCGATATTTTGGGGTTGATTAGCAAGATTCAACGAAATTATGAAGGTAATCGGTTCCAAATTTTAATCTCTCTATAAATTGTAATCCACCGTATTCCTTTTTACTGATCAATCATTGAAAGTTTTTGAACCTTGAAGTTATTTGATCTAGAAGTAGTGAGTTAATTGATTCTTTTAACCCTAAAATTTCATATTTGGTTTCGATTGAATTGGAATTTTTCATGTATCTTTTTCCTATTCATCTCTTTCGATTGAATGTTTATGGTTCTATTGATGTTCATTTGTCAATTTATTCAAGGAATGATGATTTTAATGGTTGGGTTTCATTTTTCACTAATTTGTCAACTATTTTTTTTTCTGTTAACATTGTTTCTGACAAACATACCAAGTGTTCCACGAAATTCCTCAATGAATATAGACGCTAGGTATGATTTCTCTGGTTTGGCTTTTTTATTATATTTTTCAAATGCTTGATCTAGATCTGTAATCCAAGTAATTTTTTATACAAGAAAGCTCAGGCCCATTTATTTGACCATATTGTAGTAAATAACATTTGCCTGCAGGACTTAAGCAAAATAACTAACGCCCATCGCCATTAAAAAAAAAATTAAGTCAATTATACTTTTATTATTGTATTTATTTGATTAGGTCATTTACATGATTATATCATAATTTATCCCTGACTTATCTTATTCAGGGGCTAAAATTAGAGTTAGAAAAAGTTTCTCCTTCTTTGAGGAGCAATGCAGTTTACTCTAGGGATTCACACATTAATGGATTTTCATAGTAAGACCTTTGTTCACACGTTTTATTAATTGATATTGTTGTTTGCTATGGATTAGCAGAAAATGGGAGAAGGTTTATAGATAAATATAGTGTGTGTATTTAAGTGCCAAGTACCATATTATGGCATCTATGCATGTATGATAAATACCATATTATATCATCATTGTTTCCACCAAACAATGTGTATATGAGCCTATGTATAGCATTTTATATCAGTTGTATAAAACAGGGGCGTAATGGTAATTTATTTGAAAATTCTATAACAAAAGTTGTGCTTTGTGGCTTATTTATGAGGTAAATGCATAAAATATCATTATACTTTGAAATTGAACCTCATAAAAGTCAGGAACAAAATAGGGGTGGGGTATAATGGTCAATTTAATTGGTTGGACTATAATTGAAGTTATTGATATCAAAAGATTGAATATAATAATACAATGTTATTTAACTGTTTCTGTTACTTTTTTGTGTTCATATACTTCTAAATAGCAATGTTCTTTCAATTGTATGTCTCATATAACATCATACTTTCATAGATAAACAATTTTTAAAAATAAACAGGGACCTTTTTCGTAAAGTTAGTAAAACAGGGTCCATTCATGTATTTACATTTCCCTAATATTAAAATATGGACCATTTATGTAATTTATATTTTTTATACAACTTCATTACCTATCACCTCTGTAAAATATAGCATCTTACAATTATTTTTATTCTAAATTCACTGAATAATGATGTTATGTTAAAGTACATAGTTATTTACTTTTAATTTCTGAATACCGGCAGTTTCTATGAATTTTGAAAAAACAAGGACCATTTCAGTAAACTTTAAAAAGCAAGTCCAAAGTAATATACCTTAGTACATGAAGAAAACACATTCAGCCTATGCAGCACTTATAACTATTTTCATCCCCTTGATACTTGAATAAATTATCTTATTATGCCATGAACATACCATTACTAATTGACAAAGATACAAATACAGATTCATAAAGAGTACTGCTAAATGTAAGAATTTCCTACGTATTTCAATTTTTTTTGTATATTATAACATTATATTGACATTTTAAAACAGGGACCATAATTTTTTACTTTAATAACTAACTTTTAAACAATTGCACAAAATAACATGGACTTCCATAAAAAAAACATATTTGTGTATATTCACTAATAAATACATTTGCAAATGATTAAAATTTCATGCTAATACGTAACATGTCATCTTTTTAACATTTTTCTTATTTTTTGTTGAAATTGTGTACCTTATCATGGTTCTTGGACAAATTTATGATTCTATTTTATGCTTCTATTTAAATTTATGCTTCTTCTTCTTTCATGCTAAAACGTCACATGTCATCTTTTTAAAATTTCTAAACTATGATATCTTATTTTATTAGACAATCAAATTTATGATTCTATTTAAATTTATCAACCGTGGTTTCCACGGGTTATAACCTAGTTGATAGTATATATATAATAGGACCAATCAATTTAAAATTTCAATTTGTTTTATATTTTCTACAACTACAAGCACTCGGATAAAAAATGGTTCTGTTTGTTGCAACTCTTTGCATGACACGACAATAATTGAATCTCTGGTTTATGTGTGCTCCTTTGACATTTGACTCAATCTGTTTGCTGCAAGCCTCCAATGATAAATAAATAAATAAAAAAACAAATAATTAAGAAAAAAACTTCCAATTAGGTTGACCGGTGATATTTACTAATTATTTAGTTCATGATGCAACATGCTTAAATCTTCGAAAAACAAAGTGAGAGATTACTCTTATCCTATGACTAATCCTTGGTAATTCCTTCTGATATAGATGGGGGTTTGCAGTCTTTTTTCTACAATCTGATGTTATTATCTTAAAATTGATTATTTCCTATGTTATTTGCTAAGAGGCTATTTGATAGTCGATGATTGAGTTAAGGTGTGATCAATCTAATCGAGTAAGAGGCATTTTAGAGGGAGTATCGAGTCATAGACTTCTAAATATGATATCCGATCCAACATTTTACCAGACCTAGTAAGAGGCATATCAAACAACCCTTATGCTCATTGAGTATTACAGTATGATCTCTTACCTAAACTGGTTCTTGTTTGTCAATATTGTATGCTTTTCATTATAAGCCTCTTAATCTTATAGTTGCAAACTATTTTGTAAAAAATAAGGCTGGTAAAATAGTAGTCTTGATACATTTGTTAATAACTCTATCCATGATTTCGCATTAGAGTGTATTATGGTCGGCATAATCACCTTTTTCTTGAAAAGTTCTTCAATGTATGTTTCTAATAATGTATCATTTTGCTAATATCATCTCAAAAGGTATTATAGTGAATATAAAGGATCTTTGGCCATCAAGGGTTCTCCATTTTACTTTAGAGTGTGAGTTAATTGGCTTATCTTAGACATCAAGTTCACATAGTCTGATATTTTTCATTTGCCATTTAGGCAAACACAATACATACCAATGTCACAATGGTAAGTATCTTAGTACTGGTATCGTAATTTCACTAAAAATTAATATATATTAGTTAATGTGAGGATCTGTTTGCCTATTCAAGCCAACAAGTCCAAAAGATAAAAGTGTGTTCAGTTATCGCAAACAACCTGACATTGGGTCATAATTCAAAATAATATCAAATAACGAGGGATCATATTCAGTGACCGAGCTTGAAGTTATGATTTTTTTTTTGGCGGGGAGGGGGGGGGGGGGGGGGGACAACCCTCTTTGCCCTATACAAGCTCTGTCCCTGTTCGGTGTTGCCATTAATAAAAAAGGATACATTTTGAACTAAGATTTGGAAAGCGGATAATGAACACGAAAGGGTGGTAGATTTGGGATCCTCATTCATATGATATCTAATATTTCGTACATTTCAACACTAATTTGTAGAATGTTATAACATAATTATAGCCGATAATTCTGTATGCAATTGCTTGGGTAAATACATGTTGAAGATTTAACGTTTGATTTATACATTAAGGATGCCACAGAGGAGGTCCGATGTTCTTTGGCTCTACACCAAGTTTTGTATCTCATATCAATTGCACAAGAATGCACATCATGTTGATGTATTATGTATATGAGAACTAGTTTTTAAGTAAAAAACAATAAGACCACATAAACAAGTTTCAGATAAAATCAAACATGAGAGAAGTTTTAATCGGGAGGTACCGAAACAAAGATATGGTCATCAGGTACAAATGCTACCTCATCACTTGGATAATTCCTGAGAGACGTTTCTCATTGTCGGGCGAGACTTTGGATCCATGCGAATGCATGCTAGTGCAACATTATAAACACGGGGTATTTCCATTTCAATCCGTCTGTCAAAGGGAGTCACTTGTCAAGTATACTTTCCAAAGTTGCACCTTCCCGGTTTAAATAGTTGAGGGACGTCAGGAGGTCTCCAGGATGCTTCCCTCCAACTGTTTCAAGCGCAAGCACTCCAAAGCTATACACATCACATTTTTCGTTCACAATGATGTTGTATGCAAGTTCTACATGTTTATATCAAACGATTATTTAGTGTAATTTCATCTACTAACAAAGCTAAAGGAATCATTAGAATCTACACATACTTACCTCGAGCAATGTATCCCAAAGTTCCTACGACAATGGTTTGGTCGGAGGAATCAAGGTCGAGCAATCTGGCTGCTCCAAAGTCGGCAACAAATCCTTCCATTTCTTTGTTCAAGAGAATGTTGTTCCTTGATATGTCTCGATGAATGATGGGTGGGCTACAGTCATGATGCATGTATGACAAAGCATGTGCTACATGTTTGATAATTTTTACCCTCGTCTTCCAATCCAACATGACAGTGAATTCATTGTCACTCAATGTGGAAAATAGGCTCCCTTTTTCCATGTATTCATGTAAAGATAAGAAAGATAAGATCGGATAGTTTGTTATAGTTTTAAATATATTGTTGTATTATCATCAGATTCTTAATCATAGGATCTTCAGTTGTATATTCACGTTATATAATGAGATTGATACCCAAGAGGGTCATTAAGCCAAATACAGTTTCTAACTTAGTAACGGAGCTGAAAATCCTTCGTTAAACCATAGTTCTCATCCGACTCTTTTGGTCTCCTTCCAAAGAGTATCTCTTTCTCTTCTTCAACATGTCGGCACCGGTGAAATCCTCCACTATCGCTACCGCCGTATCCTGCAAATTAACCCACACCAATTTCCTCCTATGGAGGGCACAAGTAATCCCGATTCTAAAGGGATTTCAGCTCTTTGGCCATCTAGATGGCACTACACCGGCGCCTCCAGCCAAAATAATCACAAGTACCAGCACCACAGGAAAAGAAACAATCGAGCCGCCAAAAGAATCTCCAAACCCAGAACACGACACCTCGGTAGTTCAAGCTCAAACAGTAATTGGGGGTCTTCTGCCTTCCATGACAGAAGAAGTTCTTCCTCAGTTGATCCGTTGCACTGACACTGCTCAAAAATGATGGACTGCCCTTCTCACCATGTTTTCCACTCAGCACCGTGGAAATTCTATCGAGATTCACACTCAACTCTCAAATACAAAAAAGGGATATTGTCACACCCCCAAACCAAGGATGGCGGAAACTTCCAGGGGTGGAGGACTTCATGTAGAGTATCACAACGAGTATAATAGTGCTCAAAGTAAATACAACCATCATAAATATTATTGAAAAAGTTACACCAAAGTATATGTTTACGTGATTCAAATCAATTACATTATGATACAAAATGAACTGTTTGATGATTTATCGTCCCATCCTCAAAACGCTGTTGATTTCCTGTTTCACTGAATTCCTGAGAATACAAGTAGTTTTGAAAAGTGTCAACACAAAGGTTGGTGAGTTCATAAGCTTTTGACAGTAAGAGTTTGAAAATCGATCTTTGTAAAGAGATGTATGTTACCAAGAAAAATCCAATATTTTCCTGATAAAAGTTATGTGATCCTAAATACCAGGACCCAAAAATGAACAAGTATTTGTCATACTTAAAGTTATAAAAGTGGTTTCAAATTTGCGTAAAAACCCTTTCTGATTTGAGAAAACTCCCGTAATGAATGGTGTGTAGTCTTAAATACCAAGACCAAAAATATACAGCAATATCTGTAATTATTGATATAAAAAGTGATTTTAAATCGACATAAAACCCTTTTTGATATGAAGGCGTACAAGTATTTTTCCATACTTAAAGTGATTCCAGTGAGCTAAATCGACATAACTTGTTAATTTATAGTTAGAACCCGTAAATCTTATGATTTGTTAATATCACATGTGAGCTATCATAACCATACTTAACTTAGACGGCCTCGTAATGCGACGATCTTCAGGCGTCGCCGTTAAATGACACTTCACACCCCAGACCTGCCGGTCTAGCTGTTGCAAGCAGCTCAGGTGTGGGTTTGTCAGACCCAATATAGATCTATACACAACTATCATGTTCTCCCTACAAGAGACTCTGGTTACAATTTACAGGACTTTTTGAATTGGTTACTTTGGAAGTAACCCGAAGCGAATGACTCACAAATTTATTCATTAACAGATTTACGTGAACTAAACTGAAAACTTTTGGTAAATAAGTTTGAGAAGTAAATGATACATAAACTATACCTATTATAGTTTATCCAAAACATTTGTAATGTATAAGAACTCTTTTATGAAAATGCATTAGTGTTATGAATCCATAAACTATGCTTATTATAGCTTAATATATGTGTTCTAAATGAATGAATAATCTTATCATGAATGACTAAGTTTCAGTTTATGATGATAAACTAACAAGGAAACACATTTAATATTTAGAACTTATTGTTATACACTTTGTTCAACATAATACAAAGTGTTATGAAAGTTATAAGCTTTTAACTAATTTTTAACCTTTCTGCGCTGTTTTAGAAAAGTCATAGAAAAATCATACAAAGTCGAAAACTAAATCCGTAAATTCTGAGAGTTCCCAAAATGTGTCTAGTTTACTCATAATTTTTATCATGATTTTTAATGACTTCCAACTTGAGTGAAAAAGTCCATAATCACAGCCTGGTCTGGATTGGTGTTTGAAATAGTAGGCAGTTTTGTAAAAATCACCATAAATTAGAGAAAAATCGTATGGAGATGTGCAAGTAGTCATTTTAAATCTAAGAACTGGAACTACTTACACCTAAAACAGTTTTGAAAACAAAAATGTTTAAGTTGCCCAAAACAGTCCGTGAATGGAGTCCAACTTTTCTGATGAAAGCTGTTAGAAATGTTTAGTTAGGTTCTTAGTATTTTAACTTGTATTCCCCCCCTAAAAACTTAAGAAAACATGAAAATGTAAGGGGTATAAACTCACCTTAGGTGATTTCAGTAGATGGATGGTGGAGAAAATAAGTGTTCAACTCAAGAACACTTTGGGAGATTGCTTGAAGATTCAAAGATCTAACACCAATAGGATGGAGTTTGTGTAAGATATCTATGATTTGAGTAGAAGGAAGTGAAATAATCATATGGAGGATGTTAATACTTACCAAAAGTAGAAGAAAACCTTGGAGTATAACCTTGAATCTCGAATTTTAAAGAGAGAAAATGAGAGAAAATGAAGTTTGTTCTTGATGGAAGAATGAGAGGAAATAAAAGAAATGTGAGGAGATAGGAGGCTTTCTTACCCTTAACCAAGTGTGTGGCTAAAAAAATGGTCGGAAAAGTACCATGAAATGACTAGGTATGGGCTGATGGTGAATAGTGACATGGAGTGGGTATGGGAGTGGTTGTTTGTGTCATAGAATAAAGAAAAGTCAACACTCCACCTCTTGTACTTCATCCACTCTTCTTGGATAAGGTTTATCCCCAAAAACGTGGATAATTAGAATATATGGGGCCTTATATGTTAAAATAAAGTTTTGGGTGAAAATCTCGCGTTAAAACAATTAAAAACGGAGCTAAAAGGAAGTCGTAGTCGAAAACCGGAAAGAAATGAGCTTCCAGCGAGACCTCTCGGTCCTGGCCGGAGGTTCGGTCCCTTCTGGTGCTAGGCCGAAGCGAAACGAGGCGAAAGAGGGTAAGGGCGAAATGGAGCGAAATAGACCGAAATAAACCGAAGGTTCGGTCCGAAGGGGAGGGTTCGGTCCCTTATGCGGTGCTCGGTCCGAAGGGAGGGTTCGCTTCTGATGCCTTCGCTTCTAACAAGTTCGCTTCTGACAGGTTGGGTTCCTAAGAGGGGTTTCAGGTCCTTAAGAGGGTTCGGCTCCTTAAGAAGGGTTTCGGGTCCTTAAGCCTATTTTACTCGTTTTTACCCTTGTTTTAAGCCGTTTTTGACCTGGTTAAGGGTCGGGATGGCCCGAAAGACTATAAAAAGTTTAAGGAACTTTTGAGAGAGACTTGGGAGAGATTTGGGAGAGATTTGACATTCTTGGAGAGATTTCACATACAAAGAGAGATTTGGGAGAGATTTGACATTCTTGGAGAGATTTCTCATACAAAGAGAGATTTGGGAGAGATTTCACATTATTGGAGAGATTTCTCATACAAAGAGAGATTTAGGAGAGATTTGACATTCTTGGAGAGATTTCTCATACAAAGAGAGATTTGGGAGAGATTTCACATTCTTGGAGAGATTTCTCATACAAAGAGAGATTTGGGAGAGATTTTACATTATTGGAGAGATTTGGGAGAGATTCTAGATAAAGAGAGATAGAGTGAAAACGATTGAGAGAGGTTTCGTGTGTGACATTTGTGAGTGTTTGGCTCCGCAACGCAAGGTCCGTGAACCCCGTTAAGCCAGGTTTTAGGATCTTACACACTCCCGATGAGTATGCAACATTGTTTTATTGTTTTTGTTCATTGTTTAGCACTAAGGCTAAGGAAAATTAAACACACAAAATTTCCAAGTGATGTTTTCTTATTAAAATAGTGAGTTATACAGTAATTACATAACACAAACCTTAATATACAAGGTTTAATTGAGTTGACCGGTTTGACTTGATGACTTTGTTCGAATTAGACTTGACCCGAATTTGACTATTGTCACAGATATCTAAGTGCTGCAGAGTAGTACCAGAAAATGACTGGTTTTGCAGATACCATGGCAATCATTGGACAACCAATGAATGATGAAGAGGTAATTGGCTATATACTGGTAGGATTAGGGCCAAGACATGGCGACTTTTTCACTGCCATAACAGTCCTTAGCAACGAAAGGAAAGTCACGCTTCCAGAGTTCTACTCATATTTGATTGCACATGAGGCTCAAGCCAATGCCATGGGAAGCATAGTGGAATTTTCATCCTCTGCCAATAATGTCGCACACCAAGAAAGTAACAACAACAGTCCCTCACCTTTTCGCAATTATAACAATTCAAATGGGCACAATAACTATAATCATAGAGGAGATTCTCTAGGAGGAAGCTATCGTGGATGAGGTAGGGGCGTGGTCGTGGAAATAGGGGACCCCGCTGCCAAGTGTGTGGTATACCTGGCCACATAGCTCTCACTTGCAGAAATCATTTCAACCACTCGTATCTGGCAAAAGATTATCGTGGGGAAAATAGCATGATGAAGAGGTAATTGGCTATATACTGGTAGGATTAGGGCCAAGACATGGCGACTTTTTCACTGCCATAACAGTCCTTAGCAACGAAAGGAAAGTCACGCTTCCAGAGTTCTACTCATATTTGATTGCACATGAGGCTCAAGCCACTGCCATGGGAAGCATAGTGGAATTTTCGTCCTCTGCCAATAATGTCGCACACCAAGAAAGTAACAACAACAATCCCTCACCTTTTCGCAATTATAACAATTCAAATAGGCACAATAACTATAATCATCGAGGAAATTCTCTAGGAGGAAGCTATCGTGGATGAGGTAGGGGGCGTGGTCATGGAAATAGGGGACCCC